AAAGTTTATTTGGGGGTTCAAGGTTTCAGAGGTCTCAATCCACGCACAGCCAGCTCCAGTACTCTCAGCCCAATGTGAGGCAGGACATCATGGCCTAAATGTGTAGAAGACAGCAGCTGGAAATATGGCACCCAGGAAGAAGAGAAAGAGAGACAGCACCCCTCATCACAGACAAAATATAAACCCCAAGGGCACATCTCCATCTACCCAGCTCTTCTAGTCACACTCTACCTGCCTACAGTTACCACCAGTTCATCCCTATCAGGGGATTAATGCACTGATTAAAGCTCTCATAATCTAATCATTTCACCTCTAAACTTTCTTGAATTCTCTCATGCATGAGCTTTTGGGAACAACTAATATCGAAACCATAACATGGGCTATAGTGGCCCAAGTTCCTACTTACTAGCATGTAACTATTATTACTAGTCTTGAGATGTCCATTTTCTCATCTGCAAAATGGAGGTGGTAATACTTAATCTGAGGTTGTGGAGGATTAAATGTAAAGCAATTGGCCCCATGCTAGGAAGTGGTGGGTTTGACATACGCACTACAGCAATTATTAATAGATTAAAAAAATGAGTCTTGGTTTTATGAGGTGGTGAATAAGGCAGAACTAGATCTTGCCTTTTAAATAAGGAACCATGAGAAAAAAAGTGACTTCTCCTATAAACAACTATCATGCTTAAAGTCTTGGGAAATAGGATCCTTCTCTCTCCTCAATTTTGAATATTACAATATATTAAAATTCTTCCTTAAAACAAAACAAAAAAATTAATTATAAAAACCCTAAAGTTGGGGGCTGGGGTTGTGGCTTAATGGTAGAGAACCTGCCTAGCATGTGAGGCCCTGGTTTGATTCTCAGCACCACATATAAATAAAAATAAAGGTCCATGACAACAAAGAGAAATATTTAAAAAATAAATAAAATTGTTCTTTTTGAGTAAATGGGGTAGCCTCCAATTATAATACCTTCAATGTTAATTTAAGTGGAAATTACTTCTTAATATACCCTTAATATATAAGAAATGGAATTAAGGACTTAGCTGTGTGATATCCCTTTCTATCTCATATACAAGCTATCAGGTTACCTTCTTATCTATAAAAATTAGAAATTGTCCAATTTGAGTTAGCTGATGTATACAAGAGAAATTCACAAAATACATGGATGTGTTTCGATGATAGAAACATTGGCTGAATTCAGAAAGTTAAAGGGTATCTAGTCCATCTTAACTGTTCATAGAAAAATCTCCGTATGTTGTCAGGGACCTGAAGATGAAATGTGTTTTGAGGGTTAGCATAACTAAAATCATGAGACTGAGGAGAGTCTACAGTATCAGAGTATGCTACCAAAGAAATCCCTTTGTGTTCTGGGAAAGATAACAGCAGGGTATGGTGTGAGACCACAGATGTTTGGTTTAACAATTCATAGCTAAGGATAGTAGGTAGTCTCAAAAATGCCTCTGCTGAGCCAGTTACCAGTAAGATTCCACCTACGTATGTACTACTTAAATATCTTCCTACATACTCAGGCCTAAATGACCTGCCAATATAGGATATCTGTGACAGTTATGAGAGAATGGCCTTGCTTGCTTAGGATTGTGTGTGGGTGTTGAACATGACACTTTAAACATAAATTTATGAGGTGCAAACTTTTAATGCAAAGATGACTCATAAGGTTTCAGAATGTGTAAATATGAAGCACAATCTAATTTGTATCATCACTGGTGCTCACCCACAGCAAAACTACCCTGGGTTGATTACCAAATTGTTTGGACTACCTGGAAACTCACAAAATTTACCATTCTTAATAAGGCAATTATAAAGTAAAAATAGAGAAATACAGAAAATTCCGGAACTTAGAAGTATACGTCCTCATGTGTTCTCAATGTATATCAATGTAGAACTGTTTGGTGTAGGAGCTTAAGTCTTTAAGTTGTAACTAAATGAGATTGCCAGTTTCCTTCATTTATTTAAATTTAAAGAAACTGATCAAAGTGTATTAAGTGTAAAAACTAAAATTAGATCGCAATTTCTTACTGAAGTGTCTTATTGACTATGGTAATCTGTATACAGTGTGTGTGTATGTATATTATATGTATACATAAAATCACATACTTGATTATAAATTTTTAAATTTTTTGTTTTAGGTGAACACAGTATCTTTATTTTATTTTTATGTGGTGCTGAGGATCAAACCCAGTGCCTCATGCATGCTAGGCAAGCACTATACCACTGAGCCACAACCCCAGCCCCAGCCACAACCCCAGCCCCATTGATTGTAATTTCTATGTCAATTAAATATTGCAAAATTTTAAAAGAATGGAAGAATAACGGTAACTGTGCAGTTCACATGGCTGATGAAATGAAAACGTCTTCCGTGATGTTTTTTCCTGGTGTTCCTTGCCTGATGGTCTCATCTAGTTGTCACAAAAATGTTGTAAGAACTTCCCTTGGTTGAAGATAGTAAAAATTAGACCTTCAACATTATATTAGAGTGATTTTTTGAAAATTGCTCACTTAGCTTTCAGAATATCCACCTTGTAAATTGTGTCTAAAGAGTCAGACACACTCAGAAGACCCAGGGTTCAAGAGGATATGGTTTTAATACTTAAGAACTGTGTGGCCTTAACAGATGAGAAGAACATGAAAGAATAATTCAGGAGCTTAACAAACCAATTCTATAATGGAAGCCATTATTATCATAGTTCTTTTTATGATTGTTAAAATTTGCTAAACTTACAAAGATTTCTAGGTTGAACTTAAAACTATACACACAGAAAGTTTTGGGATTCCAACTTTAATAAGTTAACTAGAAGTTTTAAAAAACAAATTTCTGATTAGCATTTCTGCACAAAAAGCAAAAACACCTTCGAGGTAATTTTTTTTCTTCTTCTATTTCCATAAGTTGGTAGAAAGCAAAGCTAAAGAAATTTTAAATATTTAACCATTGCATATTTGGAAAGGAAGAAATATCCTACCTCTAACATAACTTCTATGGGAAATAAGAATCATCTCAGTCATTAATAGCTAAGCATTAAGGTTTTTTGAGATTAAGAGCATAAGGTGGTTTTCAGTTAAATATCAGCTATCATATTTGGTCATATTCTTTAAGTTGATACAAACATAAAATGTTTACTCAATTCTAACTTCAGCTATTTAGTATTTGAATTCATTTCCTAAGAGACAGACCTCCTAGTTTTATTATGTTAATACCTAGGCAGATTTTCTTTTGAAGACTCAATGCAGTACTAAGTCAAGTCATAAGAAAATGGGTGTTGTTAATAATACTTAACCACTTGAGTAGCCGAGTGGAGCATGTTAACTAAAGTTCCCATCCAGCTATTTAGGTTTTAATCTTTAATACTGTCAATTATAATTATAAAAGGACATAGGAGCTAGGGACCTCATATTCACCAAATGGTAAGGCTTTTACCCAAGTAATTTTATTAAGGACAGGAGGAAAAGAGCATGTTTCGTTTTATTTTTTATTTTTTAACAACAACAAAGAGAGCCTCCAAATGAAACAAATTACCACTGTGACTTTGTATCAAATCTCACCTCTCAACATTAACCATTTTAGTCCTGGCTGGTCTCTTCTACATCTCATTCATGAAATATTTTCTCCTTTAAAATGTGTACTACCATAATAACTACATAACACAAAATGCACTTAGATGTCAGCTCCTTATTCCCAATTTTGTAACACTAAAATTCGTAGTTTTTATGAGTGGTGTTAGTTTCCATCCAACTAGCTTATGAGTTCACAAAGGGCAAGAATTGAATCTTATATTTATTTTGTGGTCTTCATCCCTATCCTAATACCTGGCATAGTGCTTGTCACCTTGAAGCTCTTCGATGAAGATTCATCTTCAAAACTTGTCAATTAAAACTTCTTTACTACAGGTTAGTACAATTTCACATACTTAGCCTGTAACACTGAGGCCAAATCATATTAACATTTACAAACATATATTATAAATGTCAAATCCTAATGTTTCTCCTATTTATTAGTTTAGTTGGTTCAAAATGGTGAAGACTATTAAAAATGTCTTTATAAGCTTCTCATGAGTGAGAACAATATAAACTAACATCTCTCTCTGACAGACCAGAATCAACCTACAACCATTTCCCAAATAATCTTTTAGAAATGAAGGAAGCTGGCAATCTCATTTAATTACAACTTAAAGACTTAAGCTCCTGTCCTGTGACACCCAAGCCCAGCCTAAATAATCAGATAAGGGAGGTACAGCAGGCTAATAGTACCCACTGTGGCAAGTGCTATGCACAAAGTGCTATGGACATAAATGTGAGGCAAACAAAATCTTTATTGCCGCAGGAAACAAGTGCACTCATCCCACCTCACCAACAGCTTTAAGAGTCACAAAAATACAGACTTCACACAATAAAATATAACACAGACTCGGGGAAAAATGGTCCCTTGGACTATATTGGCTGTAATACTGAGGTAACCAATTGACCTTGTTCAGTGAAAATACCTCTAACACAATGAAAAAAAAATCAACTAGTTATAACATCCAATTCATATATACAATTCAAATAAAAATATATATTATTTGCTTTAATGTATAGCAAGTTTAATACATTAGTGTTTACAAAATAAAAACTGTTTTCTACTGAAATTTTTGTGCTTCCTCATCACTAAGCTTGAAAGAGCAGAAAAGTATGATTAAGGAATCTTACTTATGGATTTAAAGATGCGGTTTGTGAGTTCATGAAAGATGGATAAATACTAGTTGGAAGATTATTGCATCTTTAAAAACTGTTGCTTATTAAAATCTATAAACTTGAACTGTAAGACACAATTAAAAAAAAACCCACAAAATTTCTCAAAATAGATTAGAATACAGGAAACGTTTCATGAAACTACTGAGATACTAACCAGTGCTATGGCTAATATTAAAAACTGAACATTCTATTTAAATTGTACTCACATTAGTTCTACACGCAGTGAATAATAAAATAATCAACCTCAAGTTAGCAAAGAAGTTGCAAGGTCCATAAAAAGCTTCTTCAGTGGGCAAAATACTAGGGTACATTTAAAACATTTAGAAGGGGGAAAAAGCCTTTTAATAGTATAAAAGTTGTTTACTGGTGTTTTCTACCATAAAGCTCTTCTACAAATCAAAATGAAAAAAGCAATTATATATGTGACAGTGATCAGAGACTACAGTGCAGACATTTCATCTAACATTTGGCTGACAAATTTTAGTATAACAGATCATGACAATATTTGCTACACAGTTATGATTTAAAGCAGAACTAAAAACAGACATATATTCCATGTCCATATACTCTTCTCAGCAATATCTGGGTTTAGATGAATGTGTAATAAGTATATAAACTGTCAAATATCTTCTCTTCAATCAGCAGAAAAAAATGGATATTGGCAGAGTTGGATTTTCTTTCTTTCTTTTTTTTAAATACCCACTATGGATTCAAATATGAAATTCTTATAAGTATGCCAATGCACTATTAATATTTAATAGTGTGTATGAACATACGGTCTACTAATTAAATAGGGGAAATTATAAGTATACTTTCAAGTTAAAATGAATTTTACAAAAAAAAAGCATTCAAAAATCTGAAAGGTGTACAAAAATGAAATTGTAAAATAAATAATAAAGCTGTCAACTTAACTTCCATAGAAATATGCCTGCAAATATGGATCAGTGACTCCACACTTGTGATGGATGGGTGGAAATGCATTCCCCATCGAGAGCCACCTAGTCTGACTCCTATACTTGGAGAAGAATTTCTGAATATAAAATCTAACAATCATTATAGCCTTTGTTAAGTCAACACCTTTATCACATTTAGGGTTAATGTACTACATCTTAATCTACTTAACACATTCTGAAATACCAATGTTTAAATCAAGGATTTTATACATTAGTCCACTTGTTTCAAGTTCTGTCCAAGGAATAGCTTCCTATTCATTTGTTATGTAAAATTCATTTGTTATGTAAATAGCAATTATGTAATCCATCTGGGTCAACTAGGTAAGAGAGATTTTTCTGAGTGCTCATCTTTTTAACTTTTAGTTTGTGCTCCTAGTAGTACAAGTGCTCATCTTTTTAACTTTTCTCTAATTAATTGTGTAAATGTGCACTCATTAAAACAGCAAAAAGATTATTGAATAAATGCTATACATTTCCTGGTAAACAAAATCAGTTTCATCAAATATTAAATACACAATATTTTCCTTGGCTTAAATTGAGAATTTGCTTTTCATTTTTCTACAGTCATTGCAACCTTGCCAATAACTATATTACTTAAGCTTTCTTTTTTATGACTGCAAAGATTCTAAACTCTGATAATAATATTTACGCTAAATACACTTAAAGTAGACAATACAATTTCAAGTAAAATAAACTTTATCCACATCTATTAGACTAAACGGGTCTCAACATTTAGATTTTACTTTATAAATTACACAAATACATTGTACATTCTGAAATAATGAATGCTTACAATATTAACTTGTAAGCCTTTCCACATAAAATGACTTACACAGGAATGTGAATGGATCAAATGTTTCTGATATAAATTGCAACTCTCTCTTGATTTTTCTCTTTTGTGGCTGTTGTTGTTTCTTCCCAGTTTCCACAGACTGCTGCAGGAGTTCTTATGCTTTGGCTATGAAATCTGTTTGAGCTGAATGAGGCAACATTGGTTATTAAGGCTTATTTCTATGATGGAGCATTATCCTTAAATCTGATGCCATTTCCAGAGAACAGTAGGAGAATCACAGCTATCTTGAATCTTCAGGTTCTGTTTTGATGACTTTCTTTTCCAAAGTAAAAGCTGAGTGAGGGTAGTCTTTTAAAATCCCAAGGCTCTCTGCATAAAAATGAAAACACATAGATAGTGTGTTGATATTTCAAACTGATGGGACTACAAGTCAAACAGTTATAAAACAAGACCACAAACTTCATGGCAAATAGTATTCATGATTCTGCAATTCCATGTAACATTTTGTTCATAGAGGTGTGGTTAAAAGCTTGGATTATGGGAGCTGGGATTGTGGCTCAGCGGCAGAGCACTTGCCTAGCATGTGCACGCTCTGGGTTCGATCCTCAGCACCACATAAAAATAAATAAAGGTATTGTGTCCAACTACAACTAAAAAATAAATATTAAAAAAGCTTGGATTATGGATTTAAATTATGACTATGCCAATTACTAGTTTTATACAGTTCTAAAAGCAAGTTATACACCTTTCTAAGCTTTAGTGTCTTGATCTATAAGATGAGGATGGTATTTACAGTGTAAAGTGGCATGAGAGTTAAATCATGAACTGTTCATACAACACAGCATATATAGAACGTTAAATTTTTAAAAATGCTTAGTCCAACAAATAAAATAAAACTGATCACTTATTTTGGTTAGAATATTTACTATCAAAGAAATGACAGAAAAACATCTTCACTGTTTAAATATGAAACTAGTTTTAAAATTTCCTCTTGCCATGATATATTAAGGTAGGGAAAACAGAGATAAAAGAATAATGACTCTATTTTCATAAGAAATCACAATGTCTAATATACGGGCAGATACATACACATACAAATAAATGTATGTTAACACACAAGCATGTACACATATCTTTCAGCTAATAGACTTATCTGAAATTAGATACCTCAATTTATGAATCCACCTTCTCTATACAGAAAGGAATTTTAAATTGTGCATGAGAGAAATAAAAATACTAGCTACCATTTACTGAATTCTTGTCAGCCATACAATTCATATATACCATCTTATTTAATTCTCACAACTACCCTATGAGGTAAAAATGATTTCCATTTTACAGATGAAGCAACTGAGGGATAGGGTAAGTCAAGAGTTATTCAGTCAAGTATAATGCTAACATCTGGAGCCAGGTTTGCACTATATGTAACCCATATTATTTATACTCAATTAAAACAGAAGGAAAAAGGCTTTTTAAGGCACTCCTTTGTTCTATTCCACATAAAATCCAAGCTCAACTATATCTCTATGTAATAGAAATACAAAAAGTACATAATCATGGTAAGACACAATAAATTTAGCTGGAGTATTTCTTTCATAGAGTATCTTCAAAGGAATAAAAATTAGTAGAAAGTGTTTTATCTTTGTTTTGTTTTTAAGAAAGTTAAAGAGCAGATCACTTTTTCATGTTGTGAAAAACATGAGACTCACATGTGTTACCAGTTTAGAACAATTTCTTAACTTCTTTGACAGTCTTAAAAGCATCTAAAATCAAGTATGAAATAGTCACAGCACAGAATATTATTTAGGACTTTGACCTTTTTAGCATGTACTAGTAGGAGCATAAACTAAAAATAAGAGACAAAGACTCTCTTGATAACTTTTTTCCTAGAAAATATATAACTTAGCTATCAGGTATAAAGTCATATTTAATTCTAATGTTTGTAACACTACTTTTCCCACTGGCTCAGAACATAAATTTAGAATCAATTATTTTGTCTGGCCTCAGCTTCCTCATCTATAAAATCAGTGGCTTTGATTAAGTGACTCTCAAAGATACTCTAACTTTAAAAATTAATGATAACTAGATTCTTTCAAATGGTGATCTCTTATAATTCAACTGTGTCTAACTCCCTTTACTTAAGAAAAAGTATGTAAACACCGAACTGGAAGCTGCTTATCCTCTTATGGAGGTCAGTTTACTTCTGAAATATATTATCCACAAAATATATCTGCATAAAAAATTACATTCTGATACATTAGCTTTCTTATACAGTATGAGGACAAATATACATACCACCCAACAATTTCATATTATGTTACTGACAAAAAAAGAACCAGCCAAACTCATATCAGCTATTTATTATTCAAATTTTTGTATAAAAGATACCATTCAGCTGGGCACAGTGGTGTACACTTGTAATCCCAGTGGTTCAACAGGCTGAGGCAGAAGGATAGAAAGTTGAAAGCCAGCCTCAGCAATTTAGTAAGGCCCTAAGGCCCTAACTTAGCAAGATCCTGTCTCAAAAAGAAGACCATTCATTTAACAGCTAATCAAAAATAATCTCAATCTTTACAAGTTTTCCCTATCATTCTTTGAAATACTATAGTCTCAAAAATACAACTATAGAATCCATAATTTCAAAGGGGAGGAAAAACTGACCACTAATATTTTTGTTGGGAAGGGGAGAGGGACAGTTGTGGAGTAGAAAAACAAAATTTAAAGATGCTTTGTTCAAGTTTTACTCTTTGATTGTATAAGACATACTCACCTGAGGAGTGGGACTTTGCCTCATTTGAGTAAAGTCTACTCAACTCCCCATCCACCACAAAATGATGGGGCTGTCWGTTCTGCAAATTAGGCATTCGGAGATTCAAAGGTCTCTCTCCTAATAAAAAATAAAAATACATATATAGATAATATTTTAAAAATATCATAGTTTTTCTTAAAAACAAGCTTTCACAAATTGTCTTGAACACTCCATAGGAAGAGATGAAAGTCAATAGGCATTGAAGAATGTCCATGATTGTGGAAAAAGTTTTTAAATAATAATTGAGGAGGAAAATGGCAAGTTATTTCAAGCTAGCCCCAAGGTATATATAATTCTATGAAGACATCTTTCGTAATTGCTTTTACTTGTTAACTCTTAAGAATGATTGGAGAAGTTAAATAAGACCACATATTAAAAGTTTCTGATATATTTTAAGAAGGAAGAACTTTTTTCTCCTCCAGTATTTGGAACTGATGACAGAGGTAATATTTCATTCGATTGGTTAAGAATGCTTATTAAGAAGGTATCTACTTGGAAAGAAGTCTTATTTTTTGACAACAGTGATCACTCTCCGGAAAAGTATAAAAATAATATGCAAAAATTATGACACTAAAAAATTATTGTTTTACTTCAAATACTTATTACTATTTAAACTGGAAGATATGCTTACATCCTTATATACTGTACATCTCCCTCCACTAGAGTGTAAGTGAATAGGGACTTGTATTGATCACTGTTGTATCCTCAGTGCCTAGAAGCATGCTGGGCATGTAAGAAATGCTTCAAAAATAAAAATTCGTTGAATGAGTGAATAATAATGATTTGGAATTATCTTCATGTGAGGACTTGAAAAAAATTAAATACTATTCAGTCAGAATGGTAAAAATATTCATGAATCAGTTTTCTAAATTTAAGAGTTAGACTTTGTCATAGTACTTTAGTAGCAGCTACCATATTCTCTTAAGAAATAAAGGTTATAAAATTTCAGACTAATCTAGTTTTGAAATCTAAAAAATATAAAAGTTTTGAGCTTTTCAAACAAGGTAAGGGCTGATGGTATAGCTCAGTGGTATAGTGCTTGCTTAGTACGCACAAAGCCATGGGTTTGAGCCCCAGCAATTCAAGAAAAGAAAAAATAACAAATAGAGGCACACACAAACATCTTTAAGGGAATCTGTTTCTTGGGGAAAATGATCCACATACTATTCGCATCTCCCTTCCTTACTTACGCTTTAGAAAATAAACACCAATCAGATGTGCCAGCTATGGTATAAGAATGATAAAATTTTAAAAAATTACAAATTAAAATCTCTAGGAGAAATTATTTTTTTAAAAAGGGGACAACTTAAAAATTAAAACTCATAGAAAATCTATAAAATAATCTCTATACAACATCAAGATATAAAAATCAGCAATTTTTTTCAGCTTCTCTTTGAAGTATGCATAGTAGGGCTCTAAAGGCAAAGGCCATTCTGAAGATGTACCTTGTCCATCTGAGTTATCAGAAGGCAAGCCATCAGGACTGCTCTTTTGAGCTCTGCCTGGTAAAGCCCTGTAGACAGTCTTCTCTCAGCATGCTGCAGTCTCTCATAGCCAGCTTGGGCACAGAGGAGTTCCATCTGCTTTGCCATCACCTTTTCAGGCTGCTAGTAAGTAGAGCAAAAAATAAAATCAGTAATTCAAACATTCTAGATTTTTTAATAGTTTAAAGATGCCAATTTCAGACTGCAGTAAATGTATTTAGTATTCATTAAAATTAGTTCACTCTTTATGTGGTACGCTCGGTTCCATAAATATGAATAAATGTATCATGTGAAAACATAAAATACTGGATTTCATACAAAAGAAAAAAGGGTTCTTCTCAACCATATAAAGAGAATTCCATCCCAGTTCAAAAGCAACATAACCCTAGCTTTATTTTCTAAGGTGTAGCAAGTTCATTAAAGTACTTTTTAAACAAGGAACCCAAGGGCAACAGCAATATTTGCTATCAACTGCTTCTAACACACAGGGTGAAATGTTGGCATTTTTATTTTAGGATTTGGCACTATAATACTGACTATCAGTATTCTGATATGGTGACAGTATGTTTGAGGGATAAAAGGTGTAAAACGGCTGTCTAGAAGAACAAGACAAACATACCTCCCTCTAAAAATCACATAATGCAAATTATGCAAAAATAAAATCAATGCTAGTGAGGATCTTCACCTTCATCAGAGAATGAAACTGCAGCATTTCCCAACCAATCATAAAGAGACATGTTTTGAAATGTGAAATTAGTGAGCTGACATATAAATTTATCTCTGCCTGTGTTTTATAAGTTCCTTCTCTATGCTCTGTTTAAATTATTTGTATGTGATATTCAAAGCAGTATGTCATATCTATGATATTTTCCAAGGAAATAATGGTCAAAATGTACTTTTATAAAAGGGGGGCTGTGGCTCAGCCATAGCACACTTGCCTGGTACACTGCATATAAATATTTTATTTCATGAAACATATTATTTCATATTTCTGAATTTAAAAAAAAGCAAATTAGTTATTATTTAGGGGATAAATTTTGGTAGATGAAATATAAGTAAATAAAGGTCTATCAACAACTAAAAAGATATTTAAAAATATGTACAGATATGCTCATTACCATGTTAGTTACATAAGAAAGCAAGCAAGCTGCTATATAAAATGGTTATAAGTCATGATTCAAAATATTAATGTGAATGTGTTAATTCATCAAATAAATAGGATAAACACTCAGACTTTTCTAAATGCAAATAAATCAGACCAAAAGTAATCATAATTTCATCTCATTTAAACTTATCAATTGATAACATTCAGCAAACATTTCTGAGAGGGAAATGTATTTTTCATCCTCTTACCATGAAAATATAAAATTTGGCAGTACTAAATTTGAATAAAAACAAGTCACTAGGGAAAAGCTCAAAAAGTTATCACTTATAGTACTTTCTAAAAGATGTCTGCAGAAGTAATATTTTTAATGTTCATTTCAGTGAACATACATAAATGATAGCAAAAGCACATGATGGTACATAGTAACATTTCTTCTTGAATTTAAATGAGTTATAATAATAATTATTATACTGACTACCAATATTTTATTGAGAACTAATGCTATTTTATTTCAGAGTTATATTATATGGAGCCATGATCAACATGACTGATTTTCTGATACTAAATTTATTCTTTTGAATTTTCTTGAGTAGAGACTCTTGTCTAACTTCCTACAAACCACAAAGAATAAATAAGTAGTCCCACATCAGACTCTGTTAATGAAGCAAATCAAGTTGTTATTGCTATCCTGTGGCTACAGCTATGGATCAAATGACATTTTAAAAAGAACCAGAAATAAATTTAGTCCTCAGAAACCTAAAACTGAAAGTAGGTGAAGCAGCCATTTATTTTTTAACCTACAGATATTATGATGATATGATAACTGGTAGTTTATTTACCTGTGAACTAAGGGCTGCGAGTTCTTCACTCTTGGCTCTAGCCTGCTGAAAGAGTGTGTGCATAGAATCCTGGAAATCTGGAAACCCATCCTGTGGGTAAAGAATATATCCTTTATATTTAAGTTTGTAAAAAACAAAATAATATCAAAAACTCAGATAATAAAGCAAATGAAACCACCTTAAACTCAATACTTGAATAATCACAGTTAAGGTTTTAATGAATAGCATTTCATTTTTAATTTTTTATGGTACCTTATATTCTACAACTGTAATATCAATAAAAACACAAATAAAAATGAAGAAGAATATAATCATCACTATTTTTTTCCATCAGAAAGTAAACCTTAGGGCTGGGGTTATGGCTCAGAGATAGAGGCTCGCCTACCATGCATGAGGCACTGGGTTCGATTCTCAGCACCACATAAAAATAAAATAAATATATTGTGTCCATGTATAACTAAAAAATAAATATTTTTTTTTAAAAAAGAAAGCAAACTTTATTATCATTATAATGGTTCCATAAAACTTCAACTAGTTGTTCAATTACACTATCCTCATATTGGACATTTTAGATTCTTTTCTTAATTTCTGGTATTAAAAACACTGCAAAGCCAGGCATGGTGGCATACCCTTGTAATCCCAGCAGCTCAGGAGGCTGAGGTAGGATCTTGAGTTCAAAGCCAGATGTAGCAACTTAGTGAGGTCCTAAGCAACTCGGCAACATCTTGCCACTAATAAAATATAAAAGAGGGCCGGGGATATGGCTCAGTGGGTCAAACGCCCCTGGGTTCAATCTCCAGAATTGCACCCCCCCCCCAAAAAAAAAAAAAAACCACTGCAGAAATATTTTCAAGGACACAGCATTTTCTAGTTGAGATTAGCCACTATAAAAAGTTTTGAGAAGTAGAATTACTACAAACAGATGCCATTTTTTATGTCTTCTTACACACTATGCCGAAAGGCCTTAACTGGGTTATAATATAAGCAATATGTGACATTTTGTCTTGGTACTGTTAGGTTTTTTAAAAATTTGTAAATTTATTTTTATTTTGATACTCAAAAATTTTTTGTAATTTACATATTTGTAATTTACGTACTATAGTTGTATGAACTTCTGTTTTATTTTGTGATTTCTTCTATTGCTACAGAATTCTGAAAGGAAGGCATTCTACTTTGTACTCAAATCTACTCTTAGTTTTTATAAGGCAATTTTGGGGTCTTTGTTCCTCCTTCTCCTTCTTATTTTAGTTGTTGAGGGACCTTTATTTTATTTATTTATATATAGTGCTGAAAATCAAACCCAGTGCCTCACACATACCAGGCAAGTGCCCTACCACTGAGCCACAACCCCAGGCCTGGTTTTTTGCTTATTTGTTTCCTTAAATATAACCCTCCAATCTATCTGAAATTAATTTTGTTAATATTTAATGTGGTAAAGATTCAAACTAAGAAAAAAAATTGTAAGTCTTATCCAATAATTCCAATCTAAATTTCCTAAGAATTCTTCCATGCTGGCTTGTGATTTCTGTTTTATCATAGCAGGCAATGGGACTTTAGAACTGGAAAGACCTGTACTTGTTTTCCAGTTCCACCGCTTAGGAGCTATATGACTTTGCATGGGCAAATGTAACAATCCTGAATGTCAGTTTTCTCCTATGAAAAAATGAGGACAATAGAACCTATCAGAGTTGTTGTGAGGATTAAATGAAATAAATAGGGCCTATTTGTAGAAACTCTATTACTGGACAATGCTTCAACAAATTATTTGTTTTGTACTTGACAAGTATTTGGGCTAATCCACCTACTACTTTCAAGTTTCTTTTAGTTGCCTGTTTACTGCTCCATGTGAACTTCAAAACTACAAAACATCATGATGGTGTATAGTAACTTTAAGGAAAGCTACTGAAGGACTGGATTCCTCACAGAAACTGTCATTAACTCCAAAACATGCATTTCTTCTGTTGTTTGATTATGTAACTGAGGGTGAATCATTAAATGCAATAACAAAAAAAAATAGTTTCCATTACTTGAGATGTAAGATAGTGATTCAAAAAACTTCTTCCATCAGGTTCTTTTCAAAAAATTATTTCTCCACTGCAGAGCCCATATTTTCAAATATTTCATCTACCAAAATTTATCCCCTAAATAACAACTAATATGCTATTTTTAAATTCAGAAACATGAAATAATATAATCAAGTCAAAAGCAAATACATTTACCATCTTGAAATAGCCTTGTATAAGTTTCATGGTGATTTTATATACAATCATTATCTTTAAAGTATTGAGAACAGCCAGCTTTCTAAGTCCCTACACTGATATTTGGAATATATAGAACATAATCATTAGGTGAGCTAGAATAAACTTTATTTAAGTGTACATAATCTAGACTAAAGAAAAAGTACACTTTTTCTTATCTATTCTATTTTTCTTCTAGGAATTTATTCCTAAAAATCCAACTTAGTCTTAGCAAACCTTCATTTAAGTTTGAAAGTTCAATGAGATAAGGTGGTAGAAGACTTGGAAGAAAAACAACAATAAGAGCAGCTATCACTTTACAGGTGCATACAAAGTACCAGTTCCTATGTTCTATACTTTATGTACATTATTCCTCTTCACAAACAACCCGAGGTTATCCTCATTTTACTGCTGTGGATAACTGACTTCCAAGTCTATGCTCAGTCTATAAAATCCTACAATGAAACAATAACAATTACCTTCATGAAACAATAACAATTACAGTTTTTTTTTAAATTCTAAGTTGCTATGTATGGCAGCAGAATGCATTACAATTCATATTACACATATAGAGCACAAATTTTCTTATCTCTGGTTGTACAAAAAGTAGAGTCACACCATTCCTGTCTTTATACATGTTCTTAGGGTAATAATATCCACCTCATTCCACCGTCTTTCCTACCCCCATGCTCCTTCCCTTTCCTTCCCCACTCTTTGCTCTACTTAGAGTTCGTCTAATCCACCCATGCTCCTCCTCCACAACCCCATTATGAATCAGCATCCTTATATCAGAGAAGGTTATATACTGGCTAACTTGACTTAGCATTACATTCTCCAGCTCCATTTACCTGCAAATGCCATGATTTTACTCTCTTTTAATGTTGAATAGTATTCCATTGTGTGTGTGAGTGACACACACACACACACACACACACACACACACACACACACATACATTTACATACACATACATTTTCATTATCCATTCATCAACTGAAGGGAATCTAGGTTGGTTCCACAATTTAGCTATTGTGAGTTGTGCTCCTATAACATTGATGTGGCTATGTCCCTGTAGTATGCTGTTTTTAAGTCCTTTGGGTATAGACCAAAGAGTGGGATAGCTGGGTCAAATGGTGGTTCCATTCCCAGTTTTCCAAGGAATACTGCTTTCCATATTGGCTGCACCAATTTGCAGTCCCACCAGCAATGTATGAGTGTGTCTTTTTCCCCACATCCTCGCCAACACTTATTGTTGTTTGTATTCTTAATAGCTGCCACTCTGACTGGAGTGAGATGATATCGTAGTTTTGATTTGCATTTCTCTAATTGCTAGAGATGTTGAACATTTTTTTCATATATTTGTTGAGTTGATTATATATCAGCTTCTGAGAAGTGTCTGTTTAGTTCCTTGTCCCATTTATTGATTGGGTTATTTGGCTTTTTTGGTGTTAAGATTTTTGAGTTATTTACAGGTTTGTTTTTTGATGTTACTGCTCTGTTTTATATGAGGTGGCTTTAAATGTATGACTTATGCTGAGTTCGAAACCCAATTCTACTACCTATTTCTGAGATACAGGGCAGACTATTTCACCTGTTTGTTTTTTCATCTATAAAATAGCAATGGTACCTAACAAATAGTATATGAAAAATACTTGCCACAATGCATGGCACATAAGTATTACCTACTAAATATTTGTTACTGATATTTAGTCAGATTATCCAAAAAGCCACCAGATTTAGTTGGAGTAAAGAAAACATCATGCTATAGTGATATATTATATCTCTATCATACAGAGGAAAAAGGATACATTTTAGTGATATTTCCATAGTGTGGACATCTTAGAATGAGTATGAATAGATATTTCATATGAACTAGATATTTTATACTAAAACCAGCAGGAGAATGTTGAGCATATTTGTCAGGGACTGTTTTAGTGAAAAGCACTCTGGAAATCTAGAAACATGCTTATTGACTCAACAAAAATGCCATGTAACTGGTTCACACACTGCTGACATGGGGTACAATGGTAAAAAGAGACACACCTTCTGCTTTCTTAACAAACAGTCTTGAGAGGGAAACAGAGATCTGGGGCTCAGCTGAGGCACTATGGCAGAGTAGGCTCCTTAGAGGGCATAATATCAAGGTTAAGAATTGAAGGAAGAGAGTTTTCTAGAAAGAGAGCAGCTTAGATAAAAACCTAGAGACGATTTGGTGAGAACTTTTAAGCTACATTAAGAATTTTAGGGGCTGGAGTTGTAGCTCAGTTGTAGAGTGCTTACTTCACACATGTGAGGCTCTGGGTTCGAGTCTCAGAACCACATGTAAATAAGTAAAAATAAAGGTTCATTGAAAAAATAAATAAATAAAATAAAGGCACTGTATCCACCTACTCTATATATATATAATTTTAGGTTTTATCTTAAATGCAAAGAGAAGTGATTAAAAAGTCTTAGAGAAGAAACTGTAAAATCTGCACTTAAGAAAGGCCAGGCTGAATGTGATGGTGTCAAAGATGGTGGTAGGGAGACTGGTTAGAGGGCTATGATGGAGTTGGAGAATAGCACCCTAGTCCTGAACAGTAGCAGATATGGCAAAGATATAAATCCCTGAGATTAGGCAACTGGGAGTCTGGTAGCAACATCTGCTACAATATGAAACTCTGGGCCAGGGGGTTTGAGGTGAGGTAAAAAAAAATCAACTAATTCAATTAGGGACGTACTGAATATAAAGGCTGGTGAGACATATATACATACATACACATACACACACACACACACACACACACACACACACACACACACATATTCCAGCTAAATAGACATAATGAATTTGGAGCTTAGGGCAAAATCAGG